CCAACCAGACCACACAGTGGACTCACAGTAATTACTGGATATTCAATGTTTCTGAGTCCAGCAGTGGAGACTACACGTGTAAGAGTCAACGCAGAGATGACTCATATTCTTCAACAGAGTGGAGTGAAGCCTTCAACGTGTCAGTATCAAGTACGTATCAGCTAGTAGGTAGTAAACTCAGATATAGTTTATCAGTGAGGCTAAAATGTTACTGAAAACTGTTTTCGACCACTTTAAAGTAAACAAAGTGAATAACAAGAAAACTACAGTTTCTATTAAACAGTGATAAAAGTTATCCTTGTCTGTTATCTGCTATAATATTTAAACGATTCTGTGTCATTCACCATCATTGCATCTAGCATAAAAGCCAATGATGAACAATACGTTTCAGAGCTGTAGTGAAATATTTAGGACTGAAGACCCATCAGCTTCACCTCAAACACACATCAGAACAACGGAGCAGATGGAGGAGAATCAATGGAGGGACATTAATGTGAAAGATACATCTTTGCATGTGATTGGACGCATCATCAGTGATGTAACCTGGGGTCACCAGGTGCTTTGGGTCTTTCTTTCTGTCTGGTGTAGATTTTGTTACTCAGCCATAGAAAGAGCAGTGAGGCTTGTAGGAAGTTAGACAGAGATGAGTAGGTGGAGAAAAGGTTTGTTGTAATATTTCAGATGGAGATGTTGTCATGGTGACTGATGGAGCTACAAGCAGAAATCTAATGTTTTCATTGTTGAGCTGGTTTATTGTGGCAGCCTAGAAACAGAGATGGTGACTCTGTGACGTCTGTGCAGCTGAAATGGTGTAGAGAGCCCAGTGATGTGAACATAGTTTCTGCTGTATGCTGTGAATGTGAACACATCTCTAATGTGGAAACAACATTTCACGACTGCGACAGACATTTTTTCCTCCACAGGGGGCCAAACTGTTTGAAGGGATTTTCTTCATGGATTACATGTTTTTATACATTTTATCTCAGGAATGATGGATGAGTTTGTTTTATTAATGCAGTGATGTGTGAAATGTTGATATTAGTGTGTAAGTTATGAAGATACGTTTTTCTAATAGGGAGAGATGTTGATTTCTTCTGATGGTGTGGAAAGAAGATTGACTGATGCCAAATCAAAGCAAACTGCTGCAGTTAATAAATCATGTAGTTACATGATAATATGTAATGAAGGCCAGAAATGAAGAGTTAAAAGTCTTATAATTAAAGTGGTGCTATTAGAGATTTGTCTGTGCAGCTATGATGATCTGCTCTTGTGTAAACTTATATCTGAGTCTCACATTAGCGAGAATCTTCTGGTGAATCTGTTGTTTTTGTTGGGAGCAGGAAGGCTTTAGGCAGAAAGGGAAAGGACTAGTTTATAAATGGAAATGCATTACAGACCTGTGTGAGAGGAGAAAGTAGATGACATCAGCAATAACACTGCTGGGATGTTTTTACTACTAATTTCCCAGTTTAAACACTCATCCAATTGATGAAATCCAGTTCAGCATTCAATACAATCCACCCCTCACAACTCATCAGGAAACTGACAGACCTGGGCATCAGTTCCCTCAT